AGACGAGCGGAGAGTATAGAATACTAGATTAAAAAATTAGCTAGCTAGAATACATGCATATTAACAGCGTAAACCTGAATTAGCCATGCGACCATATAATATGATTAAATGTTAATAAATTAAGTGTATCCGCAATCATACATTTCTTAGAAATATATTTTACCTAGGTGACGAGGATCACTCAGTCGCTTTGTGTCAAACTCAAATGCAGTTACGGGGTTTTTGACCAGCGAATGAGTGCAAATGTGCATTTTGTCCGTCATTAAAACGGCAGCATTACGTTTTCATCACCAGGTGTTTGTTGTAGCTATATGGGCGCAGCACTCAGTTTCAGATACATAAAATATGAGCCTTTATAGACATAGTGTTTCTTGCGTAAAAAAAAGCTGTACTTATTCAAACAACAAGATCTTTATTTACCCTTGCAGACCTAGTTCAGCTGCTGTGGAACTTCAGTTCATTCAGTCAAGATAGAGGGGGTGGAGTTATGAGGTTTACTAGCTGCTGTGGAACTTCAGTTCATTCAGTCAAGATAGAGGGGGTGGAGTTTACTGACAGTTTGAGCGGATCCAACAAGATTTAGTCACAAGCTCTTTTTAATACCTTTCATTAGCTAAATATTTGTAAAGCAGACAGACAGATGTAGGGTGACCAATATCATTGATTTATTGAAGGAAAAAAAAAACACCATCACCAAAAAAAGGGCACTTCGGAGTGTAAGGGCAAAAAGGGCATGTGCTCTGCGTAGGTTGAGCCCTACCTGTGCACGTGCCTGATAGTATAGCTATAGAGTATGTGTGTGTGGTTGGCACACAGAAAGACACAATGAACAGTAGAATTTTTTCCTTGTTGCATCTTTCAGTATGTGTGTGTGTGTGTCTGTCTGGCTTCTTTTTACTAATGGGTTGATGGGAAATGAGCCAATCAGTATGTATTAAGGAAGTCCAGCACATGCTCATTCCACAATCACAAGAGAAATGAAATCAAAACAAGTAAAAGATCAGATATTCATTCACTTTGTTCATTCCACAATCACAAGAGAAATTAAATCAAAACAAGTAAAAGATCAGATATTCATTCACTTTATTGGCCTTGAGACTGATCCACATCTATAAGGGAGAATCATAAGACTGCATGGATTGTCCTTGAATAGCTTTAACACAGGCAGGCACACACACACACATACACTGGTTCTCTCTGATTTCCTTCTCAGAGAAGTGTGAGTATAAAATGATCACTTCTGACAATATCTTGCCATCAAGTTCCCACTGAAGCCTTGAACACACATATAGAAGCACAGCAACACATGGAGCCTGTGATGGACTGACCTGAAGTTTTGGCTGTGACCTCTTGGTTCTCCTGCACTCTGTGTTTGATCACAGCAATTATCTGGGTGATATGCAGGCTTTAACTGTTACGAACCAGCTGAGAAAATGTCTACAAAAGCTGCTGCTACTTCAATTGACAACGTTTCATAGTTTAAAGGTGCTGTGTGTAATTATTTGGATGTTAAAATATTTTTTTCTTGTGGAAACATTGAAAACAACTTTTTGCCTAGTTCTGTTCAGTGCTGCTAAATTATGTACTTCAACTTTATTTTTTATATAAATATATTTATGTATTTAAAATATATATATATTTTATATGCATTTAAATATACACTACCATTCAAAAGTTCAAAGATTTAAAAGTGTTTTTAAAAGACATCTCTTATGCTCACCAAGGCTGCGTTTATTTGATCAAAAATACAGTAATTGTTTTTTATTTGAATATAATGTAATTTTGGTACTTTATTCCTGTGATGGCAAAACGGAATTTTCAACAGACTTGATCCTTCAGAAATCATTCTAAAATGATCAGCTACCCAAGAAATACATGCTACTTATTAATGACAATAGTTGTACTAATTAAAACCGTGATGTGTTTGTTTAATGAATAAAAAAAATAAGCTATAAGCTTTTTAAAAAAGCTTTTAAAAAAAAAAATACAAATCTTTTGTAACGATGTCAATACCTTTAGTGCCACTTTTGGTCGATTTAATGCATCCGTCAGAATATTTTTAATAAAAAAGGCTGAATATAATTGTCAGTGTTTTTCTGCTGTGGATGCTAACCATGCACCAATATTAATATTCTAGTTAAATAGTGGATATTTAAAATCTGTTTTGTCTAAAAAAACAAAAAAAAACTAAATTCATCCTTACAAAAAAGATGTAAGTATGTATTTATGAAAAGCATGTACCACTGGGTTGAAGTGTAGTTTGATTCAATAGGTGGAATTTTAAGGAGTTAAAGGTGGGGTTACTGTGCAAAAAACCCTCGGGGTTCATGGAATGTCTTAAAATCTTCTTAAGGAACATTAAGTGTTGTCTGTCATATTGTAAGGATGACCTCAGCATATCCTTAATACCGTGAGTGTTCTCATTCGCTGAAGGTGAGCGTGTTTGTGGCTGGAGGTTGATTTCAAAGGAAATGAAGGAGCTCAAATGGCCAGTATTTTTAGACTGACATTCTCACCACATGCACACACGCAAGTACAGTGTGAGATGTGTAACGGGAGAGCGGATTAGTGCCGGACCACTGCACAGTAATGCATGTGTGCTTCCCCGCAGGTCTCCTCTAAGTGGCTGGTCGAGCAGTTCACAGGATGTGCCGGTGAAGGATGTAGATTACCTCAGTTTCTTTTTCACTACACTAACAGGTGCGCACACACACATCACATTCAATTGTATGAGTACTGACAGCATACTTGGTATTGATAAAGCGGTATTCCCATGATCCTGTGCTTCAGGTTTCTCCTCTGAGATGCTGCAGGCCCTGCAGGACACCGATGAAGACGGCCTGATGCCCTCCTCCACACTCTCGCCCCTCAGCGTATTCACTACCACCCTGGAGCAGTTCCTTCACCATTGGGATGTAGTGGAGGTGATTCTCTCTCTCTCTTTTATCTGCCAGTCTCTTTCTCCACCTTCAGTCGCTCCAACAACTTGTGTTATGTCAGTTGTTCTGCTGTCAATCGCTGGCGTATGTTTCTAATCCTGTTGTCATAAGCTCTGTCCCCTGTGAGCATCTCTGTCCTCTCGCATCTGCTCTGTCAGTTAGTCTGGCTTGTGTCAATCATTTGGTTGCTTTAGTGTCAGTCCGCTTGTCTGTCTGCTGTTGGTTAGATGCATTTGCATTACACTGTATTTTCACCTGGCACAAAACAACATTTTTATTTTTTCTGTCACAGTTAATCACAAATATGAAGGTTAATACTGAATACTGAAGAAAATGAAGAAATATAATTAAAAGACATCACATTATTGTAAAAGACAAAGGGCCAGATTTACTAAACAGGGCAAATTAGCACGAGAGCGCAATTCCAAAACAGCGGCGATGGACACTTTACTGATGACGCGCAACTAAATTAAAGAACGCAGGCGCAACATCTCATTTACATATCAACCAACGCAATATACCAGGCGCAGCGCAAATTACGTAGTCACAAATAAGCAGAGCCGATGCTCATCAGGTGCGGGTGATCTACTTACGACACAGGCGCAAAATAGTTTAAGACATGCTTTTTTTGGGCGTTAAATAAAGTCGCAAATACCAGTAATTTTATGAGCGCAAACGTTAGTAAATCACGTTGCATGATTCATTTTAATACTCTACTCCCATAAATTTTGCGTCTGAAAAGGAAACTCCTACAAATCCATATTCAATAAGGTCAAATGCAAAAATAACTGTCTACGCCTTTTCAGTGCTAATTCCTCACTTGTGCGTCTTTAGTAAATCCTGACAGAACTATTTTAATGCCAAAAGACGGTTTGTGCTGGCGCAAGCTGTTAGTAAATATGGAACAAAATCATTGAAAAAACATAATTGAAAAGTCATTAAAAAGTGCTTTTGTTTTATTTTGCAGAGTACTTAGTGTGCTTTTTTTTTATTTAATTTTTTTTATTTAAAATAGTCCATGTGGCATCAGTGGTTCATCCGTAATTTTATGAAGCTTCGAGAAGCAGTTAAACTTGACATACTAAAATATTGATAAAAAATAAATGAATGAAAACTATATAGACATATTAAAACAACTATTAAAAAAGAGAAAAACACTCAACAAATTTAGTTAAACTTTACA